AATCACACAAAGACCTTAGGTTTAAGGCTTGCATGGGTTTTAAGGTAATACCATCTTGAAGTTTGATTGGTTCAACATGTCCTACAAATAGTAACCGGGTTCTAAGGGATCTCAATATCACCGATCCTTCCCACAAGTTTCGTTCTGATAGACAACTGACTTGCCACCATACAAAACTTGGGAGTCGGATCTTAATGAGTGTAATATCGAGTATCAACCGACTTTGGGGATACACCAAAGACGGCTATCTCACTACGTCCTAATATCCAAGTTGTTCAATTAAAGGTTCTAAGGTCAGTTGATTCTTTATGACACCACGCAGCGACCCCGTATTCTCCTTGACTACTCAAGGGCTACCGGTACCAACCAAAGTGTCACATCAATGTAGCTATCGCTTTAACTGTGTCGGTATACCCTGCACAGTTTCTACGATCTATTGCTACTTACCTAAAAGGTGTCCCAGATCCGGGTGTAGGATCTTTAGTAACAACCCAAACAAGCCCTCAAAACTAAAGCATAAAAACACACAATGAAAGAAATTTAAAATGAACTAAACTCTAAGCGTGCTTTTCCAACTGAGCCAATTGTCCATTCGTTTATACATACCAAACGAAAATAATATAATTTAAGTTTCCAGCAATTATTTAAAATAAAATAAAAAAGAAAACGCACGCAGATTCAAACTGCCTAATGAGGGGCTGCCACACATTGTCTTCTTCCTCTCTCTGTCGTCTTAGGTATAAGACCTATAGTGACAGTTTTTTGTCCTCACTATAAACCCTGCATTTGAAACAAGCACAATACGCAAAATAAATTTACTATGAGGCCATGGGTTGATTGCTATCAACTTCCTGAACATAATGGTACCAATGGTTAGGTCCAATTTTGGCTAATTTGGAGAACCCTATTTCGAAGGTTCAAACCCTAAAAATGGTGAAATGCCATACTTGCATCAAAACTGCAAATCAACTATGCAAAAAGCTTAAAAACATTCAGATAATCAGTAAAGCGTGGTTAAAACGCATTGATATTGTATGAATTGTACAAAACAAATTCAAAAAAGGAAGCAAACCGTGATGAATAGAGAACTCGTTTGGCGATGCTTTAAGGCTTGGAAATGGTTGGGACAACTTCAGGGAACCTCCAGGAATTGATTAGGATCCTTGGTTTGGACTAAGGGAGGCTAGAACTTGAAATTCGAGTTTGATAACTTTGAACTTTTTTTGCAAAATGTGCAGGGGTTCTCCAGGCTCTATGTGCTTGTCCTGATGCTTGCTAGGTGTTTGTTTATATAGAGAGGGATGAGGAGACACGAAAAAACAAGTTTGTAACAGCCATAATCAATTGCTTGAATGCCATGCATACAAATGTGTAAGCTTGGTCAAAAGCATGGGATTTTGTCCATTTTTGAATTTTGAATGAATAAAAACATGTTGGCCTTGCTGTACACGAAAATTGGGGCCCCTCCATGCATTAAAACAAGCCTTAACCATATAATTTGAAATAATTTTGATTTATTTGATTTTTAATTAAATAAAATTAATATAAAATGCATATAAAATCAAGACTATGCAAAAATGTTTTTAGGAGTCCTATATACTCTTAGGAAGATGTTTGAAGTCCAAGAAAATGAGCCATTGCCTTAAAAGCTCAAATTTGCTCAATGCACATTTCTTGAAATTTCCCAAATTGGGCAAGCCATAACTTGCTCAATTTTTATCCCATGATGATGATATTTGACTTTTTGGAAAGCCCAAGATGTCTACTTCAATCCCATTTTTGATAAATTTTTCATTTGAAGATGTTATATTAATGTAAAAGGTCTTGGAAAAAAATGGCTTTTATTGACTTTCTAAAAATGACCTATAATGTATGAACTTGTATCTTCCAAATGGTGCATTTCTTGGACTTGAGGGATGAAGGGAAGTTGTGGGGAATTAAATTATCTTTAAAATGAGCCTTGGTGGAAAAATTTATGATAAATTATGAGAAAGTTATGCTTGGTCAAAGTTTGGTTGACTTTTCCTATAGAAACCCTAATTAGTAATTTTTGACTTTTGATGAATTAGGAGCATTTCTTGAGGAATCATGATCAAACTTTGATCAAATGATGGATATCACTTCAAAATGTTGATGTTGACCAAAAAATCTTGAAGTTTGACTGTATATAGGCCACAATTGACTTTTAACCTAACATAGTTGATTTTCAAGCATTTGAGCAATTGATTGAGCAAACTTGTTGTGCAAGGCATGAAATTTGACATGGATAATCTTGAGGACATATTAGGATCATGGAAAACATTTAAGACCATTTTAGCTCACACATCTTGATGAAAACTGAAACCCTAGTTAGAGGTTCATTGCCTTATGAGGAGAATTTGTCTGGTCAATTCTTAGTCATCCTAGGGCAAGTTGGGAACCTCAATGGGCATGTGTTGAATAAAATGAGAGGTCAAATTTTGGGGTACAACAGTTTGGTTAACGTTCGTCACAGACTGGATGAAGTATATGCAATAGTGTTGAAGGCACGCCGCGCCGAGGAGCATATGTGCTAGGTGTCGAGTGGCATAAGGCTGCAAGGTGCATCGAGGAGCATATGTTATAGGTGTCGAGCGGCATAAGGCTAAAAGGTGTGTCGGGGAGAACATGTACTACTTGTGTCGAGCGACATAAGACTGCGAGGTGTGCCGATGGGCATAGTGTAAGCCAACCGGTACGGAGGAATAAAAGGGAAGTGTCAAGCGGTATGGCCATTGTACCGAAGAGCACATGTCTTTAGTAATCCCCTTCTGCTGTTCCTGTGCATGTTGATGGGCACATATTATTTCTTTCCTTAATGCTTACGTGCTTTCTAATTGGCTAATTATTTTCGTGTAACATTCTCAGTATAATAATTAGCATTCTTAAGGTATTTTATCCCTAAATGATTAATGGATTACTAGTAATATAAGTTAGTAGCAGAAGAGATGATATAATTAATAAGTGATTAGCAGTAAATCGTATGAAATTGGAGAAAGTAGTACAGAATCGAAAACATTAGTATTTTAGCAGAAAACTACTTAGTCGGATATAGTCAAACTGTCTGACTAATTACGCAGGATGTCGTAGTATATTTTGGTTTATACGGTGTATTATATACTTTGTTATAAATTGAGAATTGGCCGGTGATGATGAACTTTGTTGAGATTTCTCTAATTATCGGCATATATTAAGTTATAGTCTTATGGCCAATGTTGAATTGTATTGATTTGTTATTGAATTATTATTGTTGTTGTTACTACATTCATATTGTTGTCACATGCATAGCATATCAAGTTGGGAGCTCATGCTCGGTAAGTTGGCATGGATTGAAAAATATAAATTTGAAGGATTATGCCTTGTTGACGCCTCTATTAATTGGCAAATTATTAAGTTAGGAGTTCTGCTTCGTTGATGCCACATACATGTGCATAAAAACAAGTCGCATTTCATGTTGTATCCTGAGTTGTGTGTGAGTGAATTGATTATGTTAAATGTTGGTATAGAGCTGTAAAGCGGTGATTTTTGTATGAAATGATTCTAAATATTACTTATCATGCATTCTATTATATTGTTCGATATCTCACCCCCTTTTGTTTGAATGTTACCCCTATGTTGGTAACGTGCAGGTGATCCAGAGTGAAGGTTATTTACCTTCAGTAGTTTGAGTCAGTGTCGTCGCTCTGATACGTAACACTCGGGGGATGAGTGCTTGTTGCTTTATTGTTGTGATTACTTCCATTGCTGAATTTTAAATTGAATTACTAAGTACTTTGTTATTTTTAAAGTTGTCTTTAGTTGGACAAAGATGTTATGTCATTTGAATTGAAAATTATGATTCTGCTGCTTATTTATAAAAGTTGTTTTATTCTAAAGAGTAAATTATGTGGTTAACAGTTCATCCGAGTTTAAGTGTTATGTATTTATTTTACATGCGATAGACTCAAGGTGTTTTTAAGTAGTAAGTGTAGCATCTTATTTGTATGACGGAATTTTGTAACTCTGATTTTAATATTATTCGTCGGGTAGAAATGGGGTGTTACATTGAGCGCTCTTCAAATGCTTGGAAAAAGCAAACAATTTCATCTTCCATGACTTTGGTGCCTAGAGCCACATAGACATTCGATCCTCTAGCTACGAATGCAGACAAAACTAAACAAACCAACCACACGGTCGATCTTGCTTCACCTGATTTTCTTCTGCTTCCTTCCTTTGAGAAGTGCTTTCCTAAGAGCACAAAAGAATCGAGGTTTACTTTAAGATATCAGTTTACTCTGATTACAAATTGTTTTCCTTTCCATGCTTTTTGTTAGAAAACTATCTATATGGCCGCTGTGATTAATATATCATTATATTTATAGGGAAGTCGTTCATGAAGAAACTTGTCATGTGCTTAAAGTTGCATTTCGATATGTTGACTTGTCTGGTGATGAATCTCACTTTAATAACTATGATACCAGTGGTCCTCATAATATAAGTCCAAGGATAGGTATGAAAATCAAGTTTTCTGTTTCTTTGCGGCTGTGACATTTTCTTTATTTGTTGAGTTTGTGGGTACATTTTCATGACTAATGCTAATCTAATTAGTTTATTTTCATGAATTTGATTATTAGGACTACCGAAATTGCACAAAACTTAGTTTCATAGATTTAAAATACAATTACCAAGTGTTTTTCTCTACGTCGTCAACTGGCAATTTTATTGACCCCTGTGAGATTTTTGAGAACTGCATATGATAAGCATGACACAAAAGCTTTGAGAGGTGGAAGTCAATTACAATTGGAATTTACAAAGTACTGCAGGTTCAGTTTCTTTTGCCTTCGTTATTTTGGTACTTGTAGATTGACAAGTATTGAATACTCACCAAAAATATGGATGAGATGGGTATAACTGTCTAGCTGGTCCGAATAAGACTCAATGACTCACTCAATGATTTGATCTTTAATGATCATGCATTTCATTTTGCATACAGAGTTGATAATATGGTCTGGAAAGAGATTCAAATCGTGTTAACACCAATTCAAGAAACTATCATTTCAAAAATAATGTGAAGATTTATACTAAGATGATTGATTTTAAGCTGTGGTTGGTTGGTCTATTTACAACAAAAACGTCACCCTAATTAGGTAGAAATTGGTTTTGCATTTCTTTGTGCCCGATGCTACATGGCAGGGTCAAGTATTTTTCTTGGAGTAGGCATGACATACTTTTGCACAAATTGTGTTTCTGTGTTTGATAATTTTATTTTTCCTCTTGCTATGTTGTGTAAGAATTTAGAATCTTAATTTTTATTCAAACATTGTAATCAACCTCTAAGTTTTTGTACACAATTGATCACTATTATTTATTGAAAGTGGAATCCATTCCTCTTTGTACCAATATATTAAAATTAATTTTAAAATGAGTTATATAATTATGTTTTTCTTGCCATACCAAGTACTGCTTTCTATCAGCTCACTCCTGATTGATCCAAATCCTGATGACCCTCTTGTAAAACAAAATTCAATGTTTCTGTTTTAAAAGGTTCTTTCTTTAGTTTGTGTTTTATGTTTTTTTGCTTATTTGTAAAACAAAATTAATTGTTGGTTTGGTTAAGACTACACTATTGTTTATAAGTATTATTTGGTTAGTTAACTAGCATTATAATATATAGCTCATTTTCTCTTTGTTTTGATCTAATTTATAGGTTATTTTGATCGAAATCGTTTGATGTATGGTTAGGATAGTTTGATTTTGAAAAGGGAGGTGGGAAGCATGGATTTTCGAAGATTAAAAAGAAGTTTAGAAAATATCAGAAAGGAGGCGTTGAAAAAGATTTGGTAAACAAGGCATTGTCGAAGCCTGAGGAACCAAAGCCGAATGCTGGTGATCTAGATCAGTGTAAATCAGAAAATGCAGATTCTGTTGGTGATGCTGAGGAGGATGACAATGATTTTATTACCAATGAGGTGAAGAGGAGCTCAAGGAATTGAGGAGAAAAACTTTATGGTCTTGATTCCTGAAGAAGATTTGTGTTTGGAGGAAGGCGAGGATGAATAGGAAGAGGCGTAGACGGTCTCTAATGAATGGAGGGATGTTAAGGCAGAAGGTCAACAATGGTGGCGAGGCTTTGATGCTGCTTATGAAAAGTACTGTGAAAGAATGTTGTTCTTTGATCGGATGTGCATGCAACATCTTAGTGAAATCGGCAAAGGTAGTTTTTTCATTATTGCTTACTTTTTAGGTGAAGTGTTGGAAAATGTAGTTTTATCACTGTAGGAGTGTATGACATGCGATTAGAATAATAATGGTAACAGATACCCGACAAAATTTACCTTTTTTTATTTCTTTCCGGAAAAAACAAATTCAAGGAAAGATCCACTGATACTAATATGACACACGCATATGGTATTTAAATATTGAATAATAACAACAACAACTTTACTATCGATTTAATTATTTTTATAAATAATTTCAAAACAAAAATATTTTTTATACGAATAATTATATTGTTGATTAAAATATTTTTATATACAAAAGAAAATATTGAAACCAATGTATTATCTCTTTTAAAAAAAATAAACTATTTTGTATATGCAATTTTACTTCATTATTAATTCAAATTTGTTTCTCTCTATTACCAAATATACATGCAAAATTAATTTCAGTCAACAAAAAATTTAATATTAACGGGAACATAAAATTATTGATCAAAATTTTGAATATTAACAAGAACATAAAATTACTTATTAAAATATTGAATATTAACGGAAACATAAAGTCTCTGATAAAAATATTGAATATTAACAGTAACATGAAGTTACTGATCAAAATATTGAATATTAACGCGAACACGAAGTTACTGATCAAAATTGAATATTAACGGGAACACGAAGTTATTGATTAAACTTTTGAATATTAAAAAAAATATGAAGTTATTGATCAAAATATTGAATATTAATGAGAACATGAAATTATTGATCAAATTATTGAATATTAACGGGAACATGAAATTATTGATCAAAATATTTAATCTTAATGGAAACATGAAGTTACTAATTAAAATATTGAATATTAACGAGAACGTGAAGTTACCGATCAAAATATTGAATATTAACGGAAACACGGAGTTACTGATCAAAATTTTGAATATTAACGGAAACACGAAGTTACGACTCAAAATTTTGAATATTAATAGGAACATTAAGTTATTGATCAAAATATTGAATATTAACGAGAATATTAAGTTATTGATCAAAATAATGAATATTAACAAGAACATGAAGTTACTGATCAAATTATTGAATATTAACGAGAATACGAAGTTATTGATCAAAATATTGAATATTAACGGAAACATGAAGTTATTGATCAAAATATTGAATATTAACAGGAACATAAAATTACAGACAGTTCTAAATATTAAATATTAACGAGAACATTAAGTCACTTATAAAATTTTTTTTCCATTAATTATATATTCAATTAATTTTTTTAAAATTTTATAAGTAAAGACCATTTTTATACTTCATTTTACAATAAAAATAATATAATCAATATCATCAAACTTGAGTCCATATAGAGATCAAAATTATCATAAAATTTAGAACATTTCTATATGGATTTTATTACCAATAATAATTTTTTATTTTAAAATTATACTTTTATATAATATACTAACTATTATTAAACATTTTGTTTTAATTTAAATTTATATTTGAATTTAAATACGCGTAATACAACGGTACATGTACGAATACATGAGTATCCACTAATTGAAACAAAATACATTTACATTGTTTAAAGATAATGTAGCATTGTACATCCAAATTAAAATAACATATGTTGGATTGTAACGACGACTATAAATCTGAAGAATTTTTTTTATAGAGAATCCATATTCGATGAAAAATTATAGAAAAATTAATATATATATATATATATATATATATATATATATATATATATATATATATATATATATATATATATATATATATATATATATATATATATATATATATATATAGAATTTTAGTCATTTTAAAATTTTATTTTAATGAATAATCTTTATAAACTTTTTTGTCTTTAATATTGTTTCTCGGTTAGTTTTCACTGTCAGAGATTGCCGTGGCTAGCCAACTGTATTTTGATGTTTTTTTATTTTATATTTAAGTGAAATTGCGGGAGTTTCTAACCTCCTTTAAACAAACCCAGGAAAAAAGCAAAATATTGACCCAAGAGCAATTGCCAGTTTTTTGGATTTGTGTTTTCCTATGAATGGAAATGTAACATGAGTTTAAAATGTTGAGTGAAGATAACTGCAGCGGCAAATATCAAACAGAAGTCGAAGAGCCACAAAATGTCTTAAAGTTTGCAACTTAGTCTGCAATCAGCCTAAAATTCAGTCTTAATTCATCATTTGCAGCAAGGATAAGAAGTGCATACCTTGTGACGATACTAGTGAGAAAGGAACATGCATAAGGGTGACTGTTCGAGAGCAGTTTGAATAGATTTGCTTATACAAATTTATGGGTTTCCCACAATACTACAAAAGCAACAGTGAATCAAAACAAAGGCACAATAGAAAAACACAATTACTATTTCAAAATAATAGAACACTATTTTGTCCTCATTTAAAAGAGAGAGAAGTCATACTTAAATGAACTAGCTGGAAACTTGGACAATGGTCCACTGGGATTGTTATAAGACAAGTCCCTAAATGTACAGAGTTAACATATCTTAGTTTCACAAAATAAACGTCAACAAATAATGTTGAAAATTCAAAGACGTGTGAGAGAAGAGAACTGATTTAAATTTAACCATATACTCACAAGAAAGTAAGTTGTGTAATTTTGTCCAGTGAAACAGGAAAAGATCCACATATGATTATGTATTGTTGTTCAGCCTCCTGCAAACATAATATAATATATTTTATATGCAAAACAAGTAGAAGAAAACAAGGGAATAATGATAACTCAGAGGTACTTGAGACTATTCAATTGACTAAGTGAAGGTGGAATGAACCCAGACAAACTATTACTTGAAAGATCTAAAGTCTGAAGCTTGGGAAGATTTCCAAGTTCTGGTGATATTTTGCCTGAAGTATTGTTATTCTACAGTAATCTACATTCAATCAAGAAACCCAAATCACGACACTCCATCAAACCCACACAAACCTTCTTCATTCTTTCTTCTCGAAATCTATTTTAAAATGTGATATTAGTGACATAGTTTGCATCTATTTTTAAAAAAATATTGTATGAATTATGTTTAAAGGAGGTCAAAACCCCGCAATTTCACTTAAATATAAAATAAAAAATATTATTCTAAACGTTAAGCTATGTGTCAACGAAACAAAATACAATTGACAAGTCACGTCCTGTTAGTTAAAATTAATGAGAGAAATCAATATTGAAGATGAAAAAGTTTGTGAAAATCATTCATTGAAGAAAAATTCTAGAGAGACTAAAATTAGAGAGTCACATATATTTATAAGGAACCCTAACATATTTAATTTATATATATATATATATATATATATATATTACTTATTACTAAAATAATATATATGATAATATCACGTGACTTCCTTATACTCGTATCTAACCAAAAGGAGTAATAATATTTTTAGAGGCCTAAACTGATTTAAAAAAATTTAGAAAGATTAAAAATAAAATTTAATAATTAAGAAAAGAACATATTTAATCATTTAATAAATAAATAAATTAAATTGTGAAAAAGTAAAACAGCAAAAGAGAAAAATGAAATTTGTTATCATTATACACAAAAAGAAAAGAAAAAAAATTAAAAACAACAACGGATTAATGTCCTTTCAAGGTTCAATCATAAGAGGCAACGGGTTTGATAACCGTTATTATCATGAAACGAACCGTAAAGCAGTTTTAGGCCCAAAACTCAACGGAACAAAAACAGCTCTTTCATTTTGAATTTCAAAAACTCGAATATAGAAAACCAAGTGGGTCCCATCGATCCACGTCATCACGCTCGCCTAGTCGGCGGCATCAAATTTTGAGTTTCACTCTTTCCCGCTCAATGCCCTAACACGTGTAAAAGTCACATACACCCTTTATAAATTCAAACCCGTTTTCATTCTTTTCATCACTATCTTCTTCTCACACAAAAACCAACTCTGGTTTCTCTAATTCACAAGAAACAGGAAAAATAATTATGGAAGAAGTTATCAACGAACAATCATCACTTGAAGTTTCTGGTAATCTCTCTTTTTCTTTTCTCAATTGATTGATTCTATTATCATACATTGAAGAAAAATTCAACCGTTTTTTTTCTTCTTCTGTTCAGGGAAAGCTGCATCGAGATCTAAGCTTCTGAGATATCCGCTGCGTTCGTCGAATAAATCCAAGGAACCGAAGCCAGATGCATCTAATAGCACCGATCCTTCTGAATCGAAGAGGTACTTTCTCAATTTTTGTTGAATTATCGCTGATTTTTTTCTTTTCCAGAATGAAGAGTAAAATATTTTTACTCAGATTGTTTGAATTTGTAGTGAAAAAGTAGAGGAACTCGATCTCTAATCGTTTGATTTTGATGTTATATAGACTAGAGAAACTTTCTGTGTTATGATTGCTATTTTATCCGTGTTTTGGTTTATATATAGATTAAGAGTTAATCAATAAATCTAAAAATGAAAGAGCAATACAGTAATTGTATGTTTGGTTTCACTCTTGCATCACATAGAATTGATTCTAGATGTGTAGAATTGTTTTTGATCTGTTTCCGGTAGAATTGATTCTGATTATTCTAATTGAATATAGTATGTGAAACTTTACGAGTCTAAACCTGATTTTTACCTGAATTCTAATAAATCATTCTTTGGGAATGCATTATTCGATTCAAATTCTAATAAATCATTATTTAGGAATACATTATGTAGTACAAAATGTTCAGATAAATACTAAAGTGACACTAGCACTATTTGCTTAGCGAAATTTAAACAATATATGCTGATTTTCGCTATTTGTAATTTACAGTGTTGCTTTAAAGAAATGAAATAAAAATAATTGAATGTGTTTTTTATTTTATAAAAATAATGACATTTTTTTCTTTAATTGTGTGACTGAATTGAAATAGAGTATTTATTGAAAAGAAAGATCTCATTTACATTTTCAGAGGAAGAAACACTCCCAATGTAAGCAAAAGTGTGGGTGTTCTTGATTTCTCTGCTAAGGGCAAATCTTCAAGTGCTAAACCGCCAAGAAGGCTCTCCAATCCTGTCAAAGCATCTCCCACTCCAAGTC